TATTCCACTATCGCAAGTCGAACATCTCCACCCTTTAAGTATGCGCACAGATGACTAATGTAAATGAGAAGTGAAATGCAAATGCCAAAAAATGCAACTTTAAACGAAAACGACTGAAAATTACCAACAATACGTCTCCATGGTAAAGCCCCATTGGTGATCTCAACTAGGAAGTAAAGCCACGATTCAATGTCATCCCTTCTACTCAAATCCAGTCTTTTATGTGCATTTAATGATCCATACCTTACAGTTCCTCTCCATCCAACCACACCACGGAATGCAAAATGATCGCCATCCTTAAACATTTGACCATCACTTCATTCACTCATCCACCTATTCATTAATTTATTTCATTATCCACTTATTCATCATCCTCATTAGCACCAAATCACCTATTCAATCGAACTCAACCATCTTCATGATCTGAACACATTAATTACGAAAACAATCCCTGCCTACTGAATAAGTTGAATTGTGTTAAAGTCAATGGCAACGGAAGCAATTTTCTTGAACGAAAGCATTTGAGAATTTCCATCAGCAACTCATTCACTATGTGACCATTGACTGTATTTTCTAAACTGTGATTCATTTGAATTGGTTATTTTCGTATGCTATGTAATTTACAGCAAGAGACAGTACATCATAGTTTCAATACAGAACCTCATCGATATATTTCTTGGCTAAACCAAAATCAATAATAAATATTGTTTTATTTTGCTGATTTTCACGAAGACCTACTGCAAAATTATCCGGTTTAATATCACGTGATACAAAGCCACATCTGTAACATGCGAGATGTTATTTTTGAAACGTATCCTCAATTGAAACGTAGCTTCATATCCACGAAGCTAACTTCTATGAATAATTAACGCAAACGATAGAGCAATCGTGAACTGCAAAAGATCGGCTTCAGTCATGAGGAGATTTTGAATGATATGGTGTAATCTACTCGCAACGATGAATCGAAAGAGTACTTCAACCTGTGCACTTGTTCAATCGCGTTCAACGTTTGCATACCGACACGAACGGCAGTGCTGAGCGAGAAATGCCGACCGACTTGTTCACATCGGAGTGCTTGAAGGTCTTTTCCGAGTAATGTTACAACAATGAATACATAATCAGGCCTTTTAGTACCCTTCAATACGCTCACCACTCATTCAGTAATTATCGGCGTGTTAAAATTTGGTCAACATTCCATAATTTTGTGATTTTGAAGTCTCTTTTTGTGATAATAAAACATTCTTCGCTCTTTGTGATAATAAAACATTCTCATTATATCCGACCTTATGAACTCGACATCTTGTTTGTGGAAACCGAACCAGAATAATTCTCCCAAAAATTATGCTCCATCAGAACAATATCTCATAGTATCACAAGCATACATCAGCAAATCCTCAGCTGATGACACGAATTCATATTCT